CAGCCAGTCAAATTGGAAAGATCCAAGTTCAGGGAGAGACCCTGACTTAAAAAACTAAGGTGATTAGAGCTGGAGAGATGGCTAAGTGGTTAAGAGCACTGGCTGTTTTTGCAGACCTGGGTTAAATTTCCATATGGAGGCTTACAACCATCTGTAACTCCAACTCCAAGTGATCTAACATTCTCTTTTGGCTTCCATAGGTATCAGGCACTCAAGTGCTCCACCCATATATATTAAAATAAAAATTATTTTTTTAATTAAAAAATGGGCCAGGCATGGTGGTAAACACCTTTAATCCCAGCACTTGGAGGCAGAGGCAGGTAGATCTCTGAGTTGGAGGTCAGCCTGGTCTACAGAGCAAGTTCCAGGACAGCCAAGGCTACACAGAGAAACCCTGTCTCAAAAAACTACATACATACACACACACACACACACACACACACACACACACACACACACACACTATAATGTAAGGTGGAAACTGAAGAAATGACTCAGGGGTTAAGAGTTTTTCAGTAGCATCAGTGATGGCAGACTCACAGTTGAGAAAGAGACATAGACAGCTTCTGTGAACCCTTACCCCACTGCTGGTGACCATGTCAGAGGGGCAGCAGGAAGTTCAAGGTGTCAGCCCACCAGGAGGAAACTCCCTGATGGGTGAATCTCAGCTAGGCAAGGCCCCCGAGACCACAGACGCCAGAGTGTCTTTTGCTTCTGCTGTGCCTTCACATGTTGGCCGCTGCCATCTTCCTCTGGTATCCAGCATGGTGTGACTGGCTGTGGGGAGATCCCTACTGCCTGTAATGTAGTGTGTTTATCTCATGGAAATATCCTGTTCTCCTGCGCATTTTCACCTGTGGATTATTATGAAGATGATCTCTTCCTAAGCTGTAGTGTCTAATTGATAATAACAATAATGTTAGTTTAAATAGAGTTTTGATGATTAAAAATACAAACAAGGAAGTGTCACACTGCTACAACACATGAATTTAAGGAAAACAATTGAGTCCCAGTTAGCCCAGCTAGCTTAAATTCTTTTAACCTTAATGTTGGGAGATGCGTTCACAGGTTTCAGAGTGCGTCACAGCTGAAACAAAGCTTTGAAAATAAAGTTAGACTAGATGCTTTTGTCAAAGATTTTTTAGGTGAAAACTCCAAGAAGCTAATCTAAAGTTTTAGAAAGGCACATAGTTGTGTGAGGAACTCTTTAAGGTCAGGGAACAAGAACAAAGCAGCTCAATTATTACTAGCTGACATGCCTTTCATGCTAGGATTGGTTGATGACCAAAGGTGATGATTAATTCCTTATACCCATTTTTGCCCTCAATCTTCTGACATAAAAAAACCATTGATGGCTGGGCGGTGGTGGCGCACGCCTTTAATCCCAGCACTCGGGAGGCAGAGCCAGGAGGATCTCTGTGAGTTCGAGGCCAGCCTGGACTACCAAGTGAGTTCCAGGAAAGGCGCAAAGCTACACAGAGAAACCCTGTTTCGAAAAAAAAAAACAAAAAAAAAAACCAAAAAAAAAAAAAACCATTGATGAATGGGTATGCACCCCAAAGATTTAAAGTAGAACTGATTGATTCTTTTTCATATGTATAAAAGTTTAGGTTTATGATTCCTTTAAGATTCCTTATAAGATTACCTTTCAAGATAAGTAATAAAGTAACCGGCCCTTTCTTTGTAACTGCAAAACTGCAGCCTGCCAGGAAAAGACCTGACTTTGAAAAATACCTTGCTTGCCTACACAGTTAATCTATAACAAGTGGCTTGGGTGTGAATGTATGTGGGTTCTTGGGATAATTTGTTTTTCCCCTGTAATACATAAAATGTTTAATCATGTAAGGGATATGGAAAACATGCTGTTTTTTACTGTTTGTTTTGTATTCATTGTTATCATTCACTTGAAAAACAGAATGTAACCTGTTGGAGCCCACAGAGGTTTCCTAGTGAGATCTGAGCGTGCTTTACCAGCAGGGCTGCATAAGAGGATGACTGGACCACGGGCCTGGATGCCAGGTGTTTGGAAGGGTCTACACTTGGCAGTATCTAGTAGGGGAGAGGGTTTTTTGCCTCACCCCTTGGCATTGTTATAAAAAGCCCTTTTGAATAAAGTTCTGGGCTGGTGGTTTTGACCCAGGCCCTCCTGTATTTCTGTCTTTCCTCTCATCATCTAGGTATCTCTTTCTATCTAAATATTCCCCACTTCTCCCTGCTCAAGAGTACCCTGGCTATAAAAGTGGGGGCTGGTCCCCCACAGTAACCACACTGTAATTTTTATATTGTCTGAAAGGTTTTGCTGGAGTATATAAGCTGTAAGAAAAAGAATTAGAGAGAGTTAAAATGGGCTAGAAGGAAAACATCAGGAATGAGAGAAGGCAATCACCAGGAAAATAAAGAATAGAGAATGCAAAAGATGAATAAAGAAAAGGTCTGAAGGAAATCCATCAAGAGAGTGTGTGAGTGTCTTTTTCCCTAACCCCCTCAGATAGAAAAGTCTAGTACGCGCCCAAGCCTGTGCTGCCTTGAGGCTGGTCCCCCAGGTGGCAATATCTCACCCCCCCCAAAAAAGTAACAGCCTAGACAGAAAGCCATTGAAGAGAACTCATAAGAATTGTGATAATGATGCTGAAGTGTAGCTCTCCACAGTTGATGGCTTCTGGCGGGGATGCAGGTAGAGAAGGACTCAGTGTCCTTAAGGAGTTTGACCATGCTCCAGTGAGTGTGTGGGCAACATAAATTGGACTTGTTTTTTTGGGGGGGTCACAAGGGTGGGGGTGGATCAGGGAGGACTGGAAAGTGAGTGTGACTGGGGTTCCTGGTGTGAAATTCCCAAATAATTTTCAAAAAGAAAGAAAGTACAAGACAAACAATGATATAGTATGCATGCCTATTAGATGATGACTAACGTTAAAAAGATTGACCACAGCAAGTATGGCAAGGATGTGGGGGACTGAAGCTTTCACATACTACTGATACGAAAAATAGTTCATCAAGTTTCTTAACAAGACAGACATATGACTGGCATACAATCAAGTAATTCTGCCTGCATGGACTTGCCAATGAGAGATGATAAAGTATGTGCTGATACAAATTTTTTTTTTAAGTTTTTATTGCTCTTGCAGAGGACCTGGGTTTTATTCCCAGCATCAATTATCAAGCTGCTCACAACTGCCTGCAACTCTAGTGTCAGGGATTGGTCACCCTCTGGCCTCCACAGGGATGTGCGTGTGGTGCACATAAACTTGTGGTTGGCACACAGGCGAACACACATAAATAAAAAAATAATAAAGAAATCTCACTTTAATGCAAAAATGTGAGTGGCCAGTGAGAACAGCACAGCAAGGAAAGGCTTGGCAACCTAGCTTTGATCCCTGGAACCCATGGAGAGGTGGAAGGAGAGAACCAACTCTGACAAGGTCTCCTCTGATATCCAGATGAGCCAACCCCCACTGTAAGTAAAACAAATAAACACATAAAATCAAATGTTAAAATAAATAATAAAGTCACAAGAAATAAGTAAGGTCTCGGAGAGCAATGGAGGGAGAGACCTGACACTGACCTCTGGATTCTGCATGCATCTGCACACTTGTATACACACACACACACACACACACACACACACACACACACACACACACAATTCTGAAGGAACTAGAGTGTAGCTTGGTGCTAAAACACTTGCCTAAGCAGCCTAAGGCCCTAGGTTTAATCCCAAGTACCACACACACATTAAAACAACAACAACAAAAACTAGGGGCTTGAGAGATGGTTCAGAGGTGAAGAGCACTGGCTGCTCTTCCAGAGGTCCTGAGTTCAATTCCCAGCACCCACATGGTGGCTCACAACCATCTGTAATGAGATCTGGCGCCCTCTTCTGGCCTGCAGGGATATGTGCAGGCAGAACAGTGAAACAAACAAACAAACAAACAAACAAACAAATAAATCTTAAAAACAAACCAAAAAACAAACACTAGCCAGGCAGTGGTGGCGGCACACGCCTATAATCCCAGCACTTGGGAGGCAGAGGCAGGTGGATCTCTGAATTCAGGCCAGCCTCATCTACAGAGTTCCAGGACAGCCAGGGCTACACAGCAAAACCCTGTCTTGAAATACCAAAAGAAAAAAAAATTGGTTCTTATCTACTTGGATTATCATCTTAAAATATTGATTCTTGCAATCAATGAATGTAGATTGTCTTTCCATTAATTTTTATTTCTTTTATTTATTATTTATGTGTGTATGAGTGTGTGTGTGTGTGTGTGTGTGTGTGTGTGTGTACCACTGAAGCTCCCAAGCTTCCTTCCACTGCATCACTGGCACACTACAGGGAAAGGAGCAGGTTAAAAGCAACACCTACACTCGTCGGCCTAACTCTCCACTATTCCCCATCTCTCTGCTGCCTCACAAGCATAAAGACAAGTCAATAAGGGGTTCTAGACTGTGACCTAGAACTCATCCTAGGCTAGCTTAACATAAAAAATGAAGTCTATGATCCTAATTCTCCTCAAATCTATCCAGCTGAATAATACAAAACTCAGCATGTACGTGTGTCCAGATGCCCATGGAGGCCAGAAGAGGGCAGTGGATTCCCTGGAATTGGGGTTACAGAGGGTCGTGAGGTACCATGTGGATGCTGGAAATGGAACCCACGTCTTCTGGAGAGCAGCCATTTTCTTAACCACTGTGTAGCGAGGCTTTCTCTGTCCCACCAGCCAGCTCCCAAATCACAACTCAGAGACTTATTATTAATTATGAAATCTCGGCCAATAGCTTAGGCTTGTTTTTTAGCTAGCTCTTATAACTTAAATTAACCTGCTTCTATTAATCTATGTGCTGCCTGAGGCTCGTTAATCTCATCTGCATACAGTCTCTCCTACTTCCTTCCTTCCTCTGTGTCTCTTCGAGGCTCCACCCTTCTTCTTCCGGTGTCCTCTGTGCCTGGAAATCCTTCCTATCTATTTGCCATTCAGCTTTTTGTTAAATCAGAGTGACACATCTTCACAATGTACAAAAAGTTTATTCCGCGGGGCGGTGGTGGCGCATGCCTTTAATCCCAGCACTCGGGAGGCAAGAGGCAGGCAGATCTCTGTGAGTTCGAGGCCAGCCTGGTCTACAGAGTGAGATCCAGGAAAGGCGCCCAAAAAAAAAAAAAAAAAAATCATTCCACTGCACCACTGGGCCATCTTCCCAGCCCCTGCTTTTTGTTTTTTTAAGACCAGGTCTCATGTAGGTATTGCTGGTCTTGAACTCAGAATTCTCTTGCCTCCTCATCCTAAGAGCCTGCCCCTCTTTCTGATCTTAGAAAGGAAACACTTTAGTCCCCCCTGCTACACCAGCTGAAGTTTTTGTAAGTACCGTATTTGTTTGTTAGGGATGCCATAACAAGATACTACTACACTTTGTGCAGTTTCACTGCCTGGGGGGCCAGCCTCCAGCAGCTCAGGACTCGAAGGGAAATCACAGAGTCGTGTGCTGTGACTTTTTTATCTGAGGGGTAAGGGAAAAGACACACACTCTCTCTTGATGGTTTCCTTCTGAATTCTTCTTCTGTATTCTCCTTTCTCTTTCATCTTTATCCAGAAATGTTCCTTATGTCTCTCTTGATGTTTTCCTCCTAATTCTCTCCTATTTGATGGTTTCCTTCTAACTCTATCTTTATTCTTCCTTATTCTTCCTCTCTATTTTTCCTCTGTTGCTTGTATACCCCAAGACAATCTTTCAGGCAATATAGAAGTTACAATGTGCTTACATTCTGTTTTTCAAGTGAATGATTACAATGAATACAAGAAAATAACAGCCTGTTATCCCTTACATGATTAAACATTTTACATATTACAGGTGAAAATCAAATTATCTCCAAGAACCCAAGCACATTCATACCCAAGCAACTTGCTATAGATTAACAGAGTATAAGCAAACAGGGTATTTTCTCAGCCAGTTCTTTTACTGGCAGACTATTCTTTGAGGTTACAAAGAAAGGAACAATCACTTTATTATTTATCTTGAAAGGTAATATTATAAGGAATCAGAAACCTAAACTTTTATAAGTGGAAAACAGTCAACTCTACTTTAAACCTTTGGGGTACATACCTACTCATCAACAGTTTTTATAACAGGAGATTGAGGGCAGAAATGGGAACAAAGAAATAATCATTTTCCTTGATCACCAATCAATCCTAGCAAGGAAAGTACATCAGTTAGTAACAGTTGGGCTGCTTTGTGTTTTTGACCCTAACCTAATGAATCTATAGCTCAGCTACGTGTCCTTGTGAACTGTAGATTGTTTTCTAGGGTTTTTCATCTCAAAACCATTATCAAAACATCTGATCTAACCTGAAGTTATTTTAAGGCTTTTTTTCAGCTATGATGCACACCAAAACCTGTGAATGCATCTTGTTATGTATACAGTATGCCTGCAGGCCAGAAGAGGGCACCAGATCTCATTACAGATGGTTGTGAGCTACCATGTGGGTGCCGTGAATTGAACTCAGAACGTTTGGAAGAGAAGCCAGTGCTCTTAACCTCTGAGCCATCTCTCCAGCCCCTGAATGCATCTTTTAAAAAAAATTTTTTAGATATTAAACTGATAAGAACAGATACTACACTTGATCTTAGCCAAAAGGCCGAGAAGCAATGTGAATGCATCTTTTAACATTAAGAATAAAATAATTCAAGCCGACCTGGCTCCTGGTACTCAATTGTTTTCCTTAATCATCAACCTGAACTGAGATCTATGCAGCTCCTTAGGTGAAACTCAGAGTTCCTAGCTGTGTGACATTTCCTTGTATATATTTTTAATCACCAAAACTCTATTTAAACTAACATTATTATTATCAATTAGACACTACAGCTTAAGAAGAAATCATCTTCATCATAATCCACAGATAAAAATGCTCAGTAGAATGGGATATTTCCATAAGATAAACACACTACATTACAGGTAGTGGGTAATCTCCCCCACACACATTCACATCATTCCAGATACAGAGAAAGGTTGCAGCAACCAACATGTGAAGGCAAGCAGAAGCAAAGACATTCTGGAGTCTGTGGTCTCAGGGTCTTGCCTATCCGAGATTCATCCATCAGGGATTTGCCTCCCAGTGGTCTGACACCTCCAACTTCAATTGTTACCTGCTGCTCCTCTGGCAGGGCCACCAGCATCTCCTCCCTTTTTCTTTATTAAATGAAGCATGTGAATCTCCCTTTGGGTAGAGTGTACTCTGGATCCTAAGTGTCTGAAGATGACTGGAAGAAGGAATAGAAGTAGAATAATTAATCCTCCAATGATTCCCAAATTAATAAGAAAACTCCATAAAGAATTATTTTAAACAAGATTTTTGACCAAACTGATGAAGTAACTAGCCACCTCTTCTGCAGAGGATATCTGCAGTTTAGAATGATGGCGTTAATCTGAAAATGAAGAGCATCCATGTTGATAGCAAGCTGAGAACTATTCCAAACACCTTGTAGATGTAGCTGTACCTGATCCCAGGACATCTCTGATCTGCCGTAAAGCAGAATAGTACCACAAATCAATTATAGTTCGCACAACACAATGTGGTTAAGTGTGTCTTAGTATTTTGAATCTGAGTCCCCGTGTAAAGAATGGCTTCTTCTAAAGCACTAGCTCTATCTGCTAATTCTCAATCAGTCTTTTCCTGAGTTACCAATGCTAATGAAACATTTCTAGATAAAGAGTTCATGTGATTAGCGGTGTGCACTTGCTGAACCAAAGCTGTAGGTGTTGTGGAGCTGACATAGATCTCAAAATTGCAATCCAAGCAATGAATAAACCATTTTGGCTGTGAGAGGGCAGTAGCAACCTGTTTCAATGCATCCATAGCAAGATCTTCATACCACCTAACTGGCAAAAGTACTGGGAAGAATTTATACATTAGGAATAAAATATTTTTTGAGGGCAGTCCAGCGCCTGGGCTGGAGAGTTCAGGGTAGAGGGCAGGGTATGCAAGCCCTATCCTATAGTAGGTAGGGACTGAGAGAAGTTGGGATAACCTGGCAGCCTGGTCCAGCTTTGACGTGATGAATAAGTTATGTCCTGGGTCTGAAATTTAACATCCCAGCCTTTTTGCTGATAAAAGATGAGTGATGGAGTGCTGAAATCATCCGCGACTACTTTGTGCTGACATTGGGGTGTTGTTGGGGCCCCAAAGACTGGAATGTTGACCGAATCTGGGAAGAACAGACTGTTTTCATTTGTTGTCCAGGCTCTGCAGGACCGTGCGGGGCTAGGGACATGCAGGCCACGATTGGAGCAGTCTGTAGCCTTTAATTGATTAGAAATCTGTGGGAACAAATATATATATTAATGGGCAGGAAATGAAGCTAAAAAATTTTAAGGGGGAAATTTTTCTTTTAGGTGTACATTTGGAATTTCCAGGTCCATGGTCCTGGCAGACAGGAGAGGCATGCCCCAAACCAGGGAAAGAGGAAGAGATCCCACCCCCTCAGGAATAGCCAGGTGGGGAAACAGGCTATTGGTTGGTAGTACTTAGCTGGAGCCCGTTTTGACCTGTGAGAGGTGGTGGATCCAAGTTGATTTCCTGAGCTTATAAGAACCTTTTTTTTTTTTTTTTTTGTTTTTGTTTTTGTTTTTCGAGACAGGGTTTCTCTGTGTAGCTTTGCACCTTTCCTGGAACTCACTTGGTAGCCCAGGCCGGCCTCGAACTCACAGAGATCTGCCTGGCTCTGCCTCCCGAGTGCTGGGATTAAAGGCGTGCGCCACCACCGCCCGGCAAGAACCTTTTTTTAAGAGGCAAAAATTTCAGATATGCTAGCATTGTTATTGCTTGTAGTCTGTACTGAAATCCACACTGTAGAAGAGGCAGTAGACTCCTGCCTCTGAGTCATAGTAAAAGTTTGGAAACCTGAAAATGATTTTGGTTGAAAGCATTAACATTTTTTACTTTATCCAGAAGATTGGGTGTATATAGACTAGGCAGATGTTTTTAGCACAATGAGAAACATTTTTATTTCTAAACTTAGAAAACAACCAAAGGGAATTTAAAAATCTTGAGCTTGTGACTATGCTAAAAATAGTGTTTAACAGAGCTAGTTTAATAGCTTATCAGAGCTCTATTGATTAATGTCAAAACTCTGAACTTTTGAAATCTCAGTGTAACAATAGCATAGAGAGGGGAAGAGATTTGAAACACTTTTTTTAAGAATTTTTATGTATTCAATCATTTTTTATCATAACTTAAACTTTTATGTCCTCAGACCTTAAATTTTTGAATCCTTATAGCTTAAACTTTAAACTTTATTCCTTTTTTATCCAGTTATTTATCAGGAGACATAGGTGGTCGATCACTGAAATAGTCGTTGTAAAACAAGTTCCTTTAAACAAAGGAATAGTAAAAAGTTACATTGAAACCTGTTTGGTGAGTTTATTTCTTATTTGGAATCTGGTAGCAAGGTAAATTGTTTTTAGACTTGGTATTAGCCTTAGGGAGTGAAGCCAGTGGCCTGATTTTTGCTTTGTTTTTTTTGTTTGTTTGTTTGTTTATTTGTTTGTTTGGTTGGTTGGTTGGTTTCTTTGGTTTTGTTTTGTTTTTGAGACAGGGTTTCTCTGTGTAGCTTTGGAGCCTGTCCTGGAACTCACTTTGTGAACCAGGCTGGCCTCGAACTCACAGAGATCCGCCTGCCTCTGCCTCCTGAGTGCTGGGATCAAAGACGTGCACCACCACTGCAGGGGTTGATTTTTACTTATGAGGGAAACTGGGAAGGTAGCTGAAGCCTCAGGGAAGGTGTTTATATATTTAAAACTACAGCCAGTCAATATTCTTAGAGATCTGAAAAGGATAAATTATGACTGGAAATATAATCTAAATGGTCTATGTATCGATTAAAATCAAAGAGACCCATTACCCAGACAGGTGACCTTAGGCTCTAGTAGTCTCCATAGTTTTGTTGGGGGCAGTGGTTGGAGGTCTTCAGCTGTCATACAGACCAGCATAGGCCTTTGGCTGTCAGATCCAGGTCCGAGATTTTTCTGTAAAGGAGCAACTTGGGGAACTGACCCTACCTTGACCAGACAAAGCAGGACGATTGACAAAAATATATTTTCTCCTAGTTCTGACCATTTAAAAGCCAAAAGCAAAGTACAGACATAGTTGGTTTCTCCCGAGGGCCTGCCTCTTCGGCTTGCAGATAGCCATTTTCTCCCTCCATGCCTGTGTTTTAATCCTTTCTTCAAAGGACGTCAGTCAAACTGGATTAGAGAACACCTAACAGACTTACTTAACCTCAATTACCCCTGTAAAGATCCTAAATAAGTCATGTTCTGAAGTACTAGCATTAGAAATCTAACCTATTGGGGATGATATAGGCAATCATGACCAGGAATCTTTATCAGACTCAGGAATTTCATTTATCTTTTTATTTATTTTACTTTTAGGCAAGTTCTCATTATATAGTGCAGGCTGGCTTTAAATTTATGTTAATCTTCCTGCCTTAGCATTCCAGAATGTTGAGATTAAAACATGAGCCACCATACCTACCTAAGGAATTTCGTGTCTATTCCTAAATTTGTTGAAATTTTTTGTTTCTGTTACTGTTCTTTCAGACAGGGTCTCTCTACACAGCCTTGACTGTCCAAACTCACATTATAGACCAGGCTGGCCTCAAACTCACAGAGATCTGCCTGCCTCTACCTCCTAGGTGCCAGGACTAAAGGTGTGTGCTACCACATCTGGCAGAGAAGTTTTACAAAGCTTTGTGTTGTGTTTTCTATTTGTTTGATACAGGGTCTTGCTCAAATGATCCTTCAGCTTCAGCCTGTAGAATACCTGAGACAAGAGGTTTGCCCAGTACACTGACTGGCTTCAGATTTTATCAAGTACTTTTTCTTTCCCCTACCCCTTCTGTACTGGGGATTGAACCAAGGACCTTAAACGTGCTAGGGAAGCACTTTATACCCAGTTCAAATACTTTTTCTGTCTTTGAGATGACTATGTGGATCTTGTCCTTTACTTATTGTGGTAGTTTGAATATAACTGGCTCCCATAATCTATTAAGAGGTGTGGCTTTGTTGGAGTGGGTATGACCTTGTTGGAGGAAGTACATCACTGTAGGGGCGGGCTTTGAGGTTTCCTATGCTCAGGTTATCGCCCAGTGTCTCAGTCCACTTCCTGTTCCCTGCAAGATGTAGGACTCAGCTACTCCTCCAGCGCCACATCCGCCTGCATGCCTCCGTGTTCCCCGCCATGATGATAATGGACTGAACCTCTGAAACTATAAGTGAGCCATCCCAATTAAATGTTTTCCTTTATAAGAGTTACTATGAGCTGGGCAATGGTGCCACACGCCTTTGATCCCAGCACTCGGGAGGCAGAGCCAGGCGGATCTCTGTGAGTTCGAGGCCAGCCTGGTCTACAAAGCGAGTTCCAGGACAGGCACCAAAACTACAGAGAAACCGTGTCTCAAAAACAAAAACAAACAAAACAAAAAAAGAGTTACTATGGTCATGGTGTCTCTTCACAGCAATAGAAATCCTAACTAAGACACTTCTGTTTTGTTTTGTTTTGTTTTTTTCAAGACAGGGTTTCTCTGTGTAGCCTTGGCTGTCCTGGAATTCACTCTGTAGACCAGGCTGGCCTCACAGAGACCCAACTGCCTCTGCCTCCTGAGTGCTGGGATTAAAGGCATGCACCACTGCAGCCCAGGGCAGCAACACTTACAAACCTAGAGTTTCGAATAGTAAACTAACCTTGCATTCTGGTTAAATTAAATACTATCTAGTCATGGTGTTTGATCTACTTTATATGTTGCTAAGTCAGATTATATATTCTGTTGAAAGAGGTTTTGTGTCTTTATTCATAAGGAATATTGACCTGTAGTTTCTCCATGATGTCTCTATCTGGCTTTGGTGTTAATACTGAACTTAGTAGAGTAAGTTGGAAAATCTTTCTACTTGCATTAGTCAGACTTCACAGCTGTGACAAACTACCTGGGATTCTGGGCATGGACCACAAACTCAAACCACTCTGGGCTACAGATGAAAGAAAGTTCTGGAGAAACACTGATGGAAATGGTTGTCATCACGGATGTCAGGCAGTGGGGACAAGACCAGGCAGCAAGGTGTGCAGCTCTGTACAAAGCCCAGGGCCTCAGGACTTTCTACTTCAAACAGCAGGCCTGGCAACTTCAAGCTCACTGTAGTAGGGAGCAATGGCTCAGCTGTTAAGAGCACTGACTGCTCTTCAGGAGAACCTGGGTTCAGTTCCCAACACCCACAGGCATCTCACAACTCTGTAAACTCCAGTCCCAGGGGACCTGACACCCTCTTCTGACCCTGTGGGCACTGTACACACATGATACATAGACATGCATGTAGACAAAACATCCACAAACATGAAATAAAGGGAAAAAATGTTAAAGTTATTCTACCCAGTTCCTCCTATCCAACCCAAAGTCCAATGACAAAGAGCCATATTCATCCTGGAGCCGAGGACCAGGAATTGTGTTATTTATCACCAGCATAGAGCAAAGCTATTGAACATCGAACTCTGAAAGATCCACTATGTATATAAATTAAAACCCTGGGAATATGAATGTAGAGACTCAGAATTAGCTGGGATGTACCTTGAGCAAGTCCCTGAGACTCACTGTGTCCAGCTTCCCCATCTGCCAAATGGCATCAGAGCAAGGTTGTTGTGACAAGAATAAGTTACATTTGTAAACATGCTTTGCAAGCTCTATTAAAAGGGTGGCTATGGGGCTGGCAAGATAGCTCAGTGGGAAACGGTCCCTGCCACCATGCTGGGTGACCTGAGTTTGGCTTCTGGGAACAATAGTAGGAGAAAACTCTCTCTCTCTCTAAGGTTGTCCTCTGACCTCCACCATACTCACATACACACATAATAGCAATATTTTTTTACAGATGAAAATGCAGCTATTATTAATCATGGATAGAACCCACCATGGTGATTTTGAAGTTGCCAGGCCATCTTTTTGAGGCAAAAGAAGCTCTTGAGGCCCTGGGTATTGTACAAAGATGCACACCTTGTTGCCTGGCCTTGTCCCCGCTCTCTGACATCCAATATCCCTCAGTGTTTCTCTGAAAACCCATGCATTCCATCTGTGCCCCAGCAGAATTTCCAATGTGGCGCCATCTGATAGAGTGCTGACTCCCGGGACAGGGACTACATCAACTTCAGAAAAACAAAGTATTGGCTTGCAAGGCTGTGCTTTGGAATGGGTGAATAACCTTGGTGGGCATTTGACGATGGTCTGCATGCCAGCCTTTGATTTGGCCGTGGTAGGTCTTCAGTGATTCTGGTGGGAGTATGTAGGCTTCAGCTAGGTCCTAAAACTGTGGCAGTTTGCTGCCTTCCTGCTCCACTGTGGCCTGTTTGTCTAGAGGCAGGCTTGTTCCCAGCAGGACTCAAGTCAGCCAAGGGCATCCATCACATGCTCTCCTCTCTGTCTGCCTTGCCTCTGTCTTGGCCCAAAGTCACATGGGCAAGCATGGTGGGCCCTGGAGCTGGCCTCATCCTCTCACACTGACACATCTCTGTAAGGCACACCTTTCTTCCTGAAGGTGCAGTCTCGGCTTGCTCCTCTAAGATCCTGCCAGTGGCACCTGTCTGGTGAATACTTACTTCCTGCTTATGTTTAATTCATGGCTGAGCGTTTGGGATGAGCTTCCCAAGAAAGGAAAGAACTCCCCTGGGGTCTTGCCCAGTTCCTGCCTGCTTTATGGGCCCACTGCCAAAGTCCCAGCCTCCTCCCTGTGAGTGGGGCTGGGCAACAGAAGCTGTCCATGGGCTTGGAGGACATTGTCCCTGCCAGGGTACAGCCATCAGTACCTAATCCACGGCCCTGGAATGTCTGTAGGCCAATCAGCAGGGTCTTTGGGGGCTCCCTGAGGGTGCTAATAATCCTACAATGATTAGCAGGGGCCACAGGGTCAGTGCACACCGCTCTGCTTGCTGCTGTGGAACAGACTGGCCAGACACTGAAGCTGGAGGAAGGAGGCTTTTAGAAGGACTCGATGTCTCTTTTGAAGCCAGTGGACCACTGAGGGGAGGCTATTTGGACACAGTGATGACTCACTAGCCTCCTCCTTTTGTCTGGCAGCTTAGCCTGACTCCTTGAGACTGTGGATAGCTTCACAAAGCCTTGGAGGCTAGGTGGACTGCTGAGAGAAGCCATGTCTGCAGCACCAGGCAGGCCAGAGATTCAGCCAGAGCCCTCCCTGGGGCTGGGAGGCCAGAGCCGATGGCTTGGTCTCTTGCTTGTGCTCCTGACTCTCCCTGGTGTCACCTGGACAGAGGTGCAGACACCCCAGCTGCGAGAGCAGGCTCCAACTCTCCAAGGTAAGGGATACCTGGGCAAAAACAGGAGTAGAGTGCTGTTGTGAAGGGATCCCTGAAGAAGGGATCCCAAGGGGTTTCTAGGAGTCAGGTACCCAGGACTGATGTGCTAGGATGGGGGTACCCGTTATATGACAATGGTGGGGGGTGGGTGATGGATGGATACTGGGGAGGAAGAAGGATGACGCAGGTGGGTCTGGGGTTGGGGTTAAGGAAAGATACTGGTTAGAGCCTTCAGCGAAGACCGAGAAGAAACAGTGGTAGAAGGGAGCCGCAGCTAGGACTGCCTCTAGCCCAGGCCTGGGTCTCTCATTTCCCTCCTCACCCCCACCCACAAGCCAGTCACTCACAACATTGCTCGATACTTGGTCTGTCCTCACCTGACTCTCCTGTCTCTCTCTTGGAATCCCTCTCTCTCTCTACTGGGAGTTCTCCCCGACACACCTACCATTGTCCCTCCTCATCTCAGATCTGGGTCCCTGGGTGGGGTTGCACTCTCACCTGGCTGTGGAGATGTCCCAGGTGCCGTCGTCGTCGGCCTGATCTTCTCTCCTGGCCTCCAGCCCTGAGCAGGAAGGAGAGTTTCCTGATCCTCTCCCTGCACAACCGCCTGCGCAGTCAGGTCCAGCCTCCCGCAGCCAATATGCAGAGAATGGTGAGTATGTTAACTGCTCTGTATCAAGAGGGCCGCCAGGGGGACCGAGCCCCAAAGTGAGCCCAGGAGGCCTTGCCAGGGCCTCCCCTTTCACCGAGGGCACAAAGGTCTTGGTGGCTGGAAAGCTATGGAGCTTCTTCCTTCAGGGAAAGCCCGTAGTATGGAGGTCAGGGCCCTCAGCGACTCACACTCAATAAGGGACAAACCTGCCTTTCCTGGCATCTTGTTGCCACGGAGATCAACAGATAGGGGGGAGCCAGGCTTCCTTCCTCCAGGGAAAAGGAGCCACACAAAGGATTCCAGCAGAAATGGAGAGGTGAAGAACAGGGAGGGAGAAGCATCCCGCTGGGCTGTGGGGGCACTGGTATGTGACCAGGATTTGTCTAGAGAGTATTAGGGGCCTCTCCCAAGTTCCTCCTTCAGCCACGCATTTGCAGTTTAGAACCTCCGTGACTGAGGCTACAGCGTTGGGCCTGATCATCCTGGGGGCTCAGACATAGTCTGGGACCGCTGTCGACCCAGCTCGTGTGAACAGGCCAGGGAACAAGGGTGGAATGGGTAAGGGAGGGCAAGGTTCCCCATGGTTGCCTTCCATAAAGTCCTCCGAGGCTGACAGCCACAGTGGGTGGCGACCTTGAGAGCTAAGGGGTCAGTTTCCCAGGAGGTGGGGGAGGGCCAGGAGGGAGTGGTCTGCTTCTCTCCGGCCCTACTCTGAGTGGCTCTGTCGCCGCCGCCTCCTCCTCGTGCCTACTATCCTGAGCAGCTAGGATCTTCCAAGTAATACCTGGCAGTGAGTCCTTCTACACCCAGGACCCTGCAGGCTGGGAGTTATGATTAACCGGCAGGTTGTTTGTTCCCTTCTCAGGGCCCTTTGGTCAAAGGCCTGGAAAAATCACATTTGGCCAGATGGGAGCAGCAGAGTTCTAACTGTGGCCAGGGCCAGCTCTCAAAGAGAAACACAAAGCCAGACATCCTGCAAGTCTGGGCACTGTCCAGGCTCAGATTACGGGATGGGAAACACGACAGTAGAAGCAATCCCCTACCCTGGCCTAGTGCTGTTCCCTAGGCAGGGCCGAAGGGTGTTCATGCAAAGCTCAGGGAGATGGAGGCACTATTTCCTGACGTCTCGGGCAGCTCCAGAGGTCCTGGCTGAACCTTCTGTGGCTCTATGCAGTGAGGAAAACAGCTCCGATCATTAGGCAGGCAAGCTCAGCTCTTTGCTTAGTGTGACCAGGCCCCCCATGGATGCTCAAAGACAGTGGAGATGACTCATTGCTCATTACTTCCCTCTTATCCAAAGGCCAGTTGTAATGGTTAGTTTTGGTTGTGTCAACTTGAATAGAATCACCAGGGAAGGAATTTCACTGAGTAACTGTCTAGATCAGGTTGGACTGTGGTGCATCTGCGCTGGACAGTCTTGATTACGTTAATCGACATGGGAAGACCCAGTTTAAAAGTGGGTGGCACCAGCCGAGCATAGTAGCACATGCCTTTAATCCCAACCCTTGGGAGGCAAAGGCAGGTGGATCTCTGTGAGTTTTAGGACAGCCAGTTCTACATAAAGAGTTACTAGACAGTCAGGGCCACAGAGAGAGATACTGTCTGAAAAACACAAAGAAAAAAGAAAGAAGTGGGTGGCGCCCTTCCCTGGGTTCGAGTCCTGGACCAGGGAAACGGAGGCAGTAAGCTGAGCACAGCATTCATGCCTCACTCTCTCTCTGCTCTTGACTGGCTGTGACCAGCAGCTTCAAGTTCTTGCCTCCTTGACTTCCCTGCAGGGATGGATTGGAATTTGAGCTGGATAAAGTGTCCCTCCTCATAGTTAATTTCGTCACACAGCAACTGGGAGGGAAAGGCGAATATACCACCTGAGGATGTCTTTCTTTGTGCCACTCCCAGGACTGGAGCGAGAGCCTGGCCCGAACAGCTCAAGCCAGGGCAGCCCTCTGTGGCACTTCAGCCACCCCAAATGTGGCATCTGCCCCACGGCACACCCCACAAGTGGGCTGGAATGTGCAGCTACTGCCCGTGGGCTCCGCAACCTTTGCTGAAGTGGTCAACCTCTGGTTTGCTGAAGGGCTGCAGTATAGACATGGGGACGCTGAGTGTGCCCACAATGCCACCTGCACCCACTACACACAGGTGAGTGAGCTGCTGATGAGGCCAGGGCATGGGCTCCCCAGTCACCTTAGAGAAGGCTGTACTTCATCCTTTAAAGGACACTGTCTAGATTTAGATGTCACCACACCAGAGCCCTGTGCCTTGTCTTTTCTCTCTGTCCCTCTACAGAAGAATCTTTCTCAAGTTCAGGTACGTCATTCTCAAGAAAGTTTCTTTCTTTTTCTCCTCCATTCAAGGACTATGAATATTTGTTGAGTGTTTTTATATACCTGGTTCTGTTAAGAGGCTAAGTACAACACTGAACAACACAAGCAAAATTCTCAACATGTTTTAACACCTTTAGTATACATACAACGATAGTGAAGCTGACCCATGAAATGAAGTAGAATCTTTGTCTTATTTCCTATTTTCTGGAATAAATTATATGACATTTGCTATATCTGTCCCTAGAACTATCAGGCCTTGTTTCATTTTGGTTTCTCTTTGTTTTATTTGTTTATTTATTTATCTCCTGAGACAGGGTCTCACTATGTAGCTGTCCTTGAACTCACTCTGTAGACCAGGCTGGCCTACATACTCAGAGATCTATCTGCCTCTGTCTCCCGGATTCTGGGATTAAAGGCGTGCGCCACTACACCTGGCCCTTGTTCCATTTTGTGTTTGTGTGTTTTTTATGTGTGCCTATGTAAATGGACTACTGTTGTTTTGTTTAAAATAATGATAAATTTAATATTTATCTGTTTGTTTATGTGTATGCCTCCACATACATGCAGAGGTAGAGGACAGTTTTGGGGGGGTGGATCTCTGACTTTTTCTTGGGTCCCAGAGACAAAACTGTCAGTTTTGCGCAGTTGACACTTTTACCTCCTGGGCTATCTCTCTGGCCGATTGTTTTGTTTTTTTTGTTTGTTTGTTTATTAGTTTTTGTTTTTAACATTTTGCTTGTTTGTGTGCTCATTTGTGTGTGTCTGTGTGTCACAGAGTACATGGAGAGCTCAAAGGCCAACTTGTAGAGGTGGTCTCCTTCTACCACGTGGGGGGCTGAACTGCAGACTTCAGAATTAGCAGCAGGTGCCTTTATCTGATGAGCCATCTCCAGATCATTGTTTTGTATTCTGAGGCAGTGCCTTGCTATGTATTCTTAGGCAGACCAAGCTGGCCTTGAACTTGTAGTGATCTACTTGCCTCTCCCTCCCAAGGGCTGGATTACAGGGGTGAGCTGCTCCTCTTTGTCTTCTGGTGTGGATTTTTATATCATTAATATGAAGTCTTTTTGTTTTTGTTTTTTTGAAGTCTTTTTTTTTTTTCTTTTGAGACAGGGTCTCATATAGCCCAGACTGATCTATGTAGCCCAGGATGACCTTGAGTTGGTGATCCTCGTGCATCCAGCTTCCAAGTGCTGTGACTGCAGGAGTGTGCCATCATGCCCAGCTTCATCCCATAAGTTTTTTCTTTTGATTTTTTAAAAATGATTTATTTACTTATTATGTATACAGTGTTCTGCCTGCATATATCCCTTCAGGCCAGAAGAGGACGCCAGATCTCATTACAGATGGTTGTGAGCCACCATGTGGTTGCTGGGAATTGAACTCAGGACCTTTGGAAGAGCAGCCAATGCTCTCAACCTCTGAGCCATCTCTCCAGCCCTTGTTTGTTTGTTTGTCTGTTTTGTTTGTTTGTTTAAGATTTTTTAAATGTACATTGGGGTTTTGCCTGCATGTGTGTCTGTGTGAGGATGCCAGATCCTCTGGAACTGGAGTTATAGACGGTTGTGAACTGCCATGTGGGTGCTGGGAATTGAACCTTAGTCCTTTGGAAGAGCAGCCAGTGCTTTTAACTGCTGAGCCATCTCTTCTGCCCCAAGCCCATAAGGTTTTTTGTTGTTGTTGTTGTTTGTTTGTTTGTTTTGTTTTGTTTTATTTTGTTTTGTTGGTTTTCGAGACAGGATTTCTCTGTGTAGTTTTGGAGCCTGTCCTGGATCTCGCTGAGTAGACCAGGCTGGCCTCGAACTCACAGAGGTCCACCTGGCTCTGCCTCCCCAGTGCTGGGATTAAAGGCGTGCGCCACCACCGCCCAGCTTTGTTTTGTTTTTTTGAGACAGAGTTTCTTTGTGTAGCCCTGGCTGTCTTGGAACTAGCTCTGTATACTAGGCTAGCCTTGAACTCACAGAAATCTACCTGCTTCTGCTTCCCAAGTGCTGAGATTAAATCTGCCTAGCACACATTTTTATATTAGTGTTTTTATTGTTATTAAGGCTGGGTTTCATTGTTGTTGTTGTTATTTGTTTGTTTTGTTTTCAATGATGATAAGGGGTTGTTTGCTTGTTTTGAAGCATGTAATTATATTTTAATTTATTTCTTTAAATTATATTTTATACTTTCTTTCTCTTCTTTCTTTCATTCTTTAATTTTGAATATATGTGGTACTAGTGATCCAACCCAGGGCCTTGCACATGATAGGAAAACACTTTAGCAGTGAACTATAACTCTAGCTCTAAAATTTTAAACTTGAAAATTATATTACATTAAAGCAAGACATGGTATATGCCTGTAATCCTAGTACTCAGGAGGTAGAGGCTGGAGGGTCAGGAGTTCAATGACATCCTTGGGTATAGAGAGAGTTTGAGGCTAACCTAAACAATATGAAATCTTTCTTTAAAAAAAAAGTATAGGTTAGTGGACTAGGAGAATGCAGCTCAATGGTAGAGCACTTGCTCAGTATGTGCCAGGCCCTGGATTAAGAAAAGAACAGTCTATAAACTATAAGTATGATGGAACATACCTTTAATTCCAACATCTGGGAGGCAGAGGCAGGTGGAACTCTGAGTTTGAGGCCAACCTGTTTACAGTAATTTCCTGGTCAATACTGCATGCTGCATAGTGAGATTTTTGTCTCACCATATACATACAACAATGGTTCTCAACCTTCCTAATGCTGCGATCCTTTAATACAGTTCCTCATTTTGTGGTGACCCCCACCATAAAATTATTTCATTGCAGCCGGGCAGTGGTGGGGCACACCTTTAATCCCAACACTCGGATCTCTGTGAGTCTGAGGCCAGCCTGGTTCACAAAGTGAGTTCCAGGACAGGCACCAAAAACTACACACAGAAACCCTGTCTTGAAGAACAAAGACAAAAAATTTTCATTGCTATTTCATAACTGTAATTTTGCTACTGTTGTGAATTTAACGTAAATGTCTGATATGCCACTGCCCTAGAGAGAAGTGAAGGCCGTTTTTTACAATCTTACACAAGGTCCTTGATATCAAAGTCTTTCTTTTGTCACTCTTTCCGTCTGCTCATAATCTTCCCTCCTGTCAACACTTAGTAACCTTCAAAACCTATTTCCCCTTCCATTCCAAAAGCTTATCTCAATTCTGATGGCTCTGCTCAGCATAGCTGCTGTTCCTCGGGCCCCAGGGAGGTAAGGCCAAAGCCTCACTGCCTGTGGTGCAACTTACCCCCAGGCTGAAGTAAGGCTAGTCTGAAAGGTTTCTCCACCCTCGTGTTCTCTGCAGCTGGTGTGGGCCACTTCCAGCCAGCTGGGCTGTGGGAGGCATCTATGCTCTGTGGACCAGACAGCCATGGAGGCCTTCGTCTGTGCCTACTCCCCTGGGTAAGCCCCTCACCATAGGCTGGGTGATAGCCAGGGGTGGGGTGAAAGGACAGGGAGGCTGGGCTGTAGGGGCTGAGTGGATGGATGGCTTCTTCTCAGGGTGGGGTATGCACCCAGCCACCCAAACTGTCTTTACCCCTTGGTCTGCACGAGAGAGAAGTGGATAAAAGGAAGAAGATATAAAAGATTCTGGCCATGAAGAGCAGGACTTGTCTGTGAAGGCTCCTTCCTGCTCTCATGGAAGGTGTCCAGGATTGATACAAAAGTCATCTTTTGTTTCCTTACTGGTCTCCCTGCCACATCCAGCCCCCTGAATCCTTAACCGGGCCAGGTGCTAAAGGAGCCCATGGGGAAGGCAGCCAGGACCCAGTCCTTCCCCATCCAAGGCCCCTCCTCAACTTTGTCCAAAGCTCCTCCTGCTCCTGCCCTGCCCAAGGGCAGGTTCTCCAGACCCTCTGATGCTTGCTTGCTCTCACAGAGGCAACTGGGATGTAAATGGGAAGACAATCGCCCCTTACAAGAAAGGCTCCTGGTGTTCACTCTGCACAGCCAGCGTCTCGGGCTGCTTCAAGGCCTGGGATCATTCAGGGGGCCTCTGTGGTGAGTATCCTATTTGCCTCCTCCTGGAACAGCGGGTACACGAGGACTTAGAATTGGTGGGAACTAGCAGTTGAGGAGCTGCCGCAGAAGCCTTGGCCTCAGCACCTAGGAAAGTGCCTGCCTGGTCTATCTGCTGGAAAGAGGCCCCTTCTCAGAATTACCTACTCTTCTCACCAGAGGTCCCCAGAAACCCATGTCGCATGAGCTGCCGAAATCATGGACATCTCAACATTAGTACTTGTCTCTGTCACTGTCCCCCTGGCTACACAGGGAGGTACTGCCAAGGTGAGGACTCGGTGCCTATTCAGGCTGCCCCTGAGGGGTAAGTGTGAGGGAGATGCACCTCGGTGGGCATACACTGGTCCTGTGGTGTGTACTGGAGCTGGTGCAGTGGGACAGCTGGAGGACTGAGGTGGCCAGAGGGAGTCTCAAGTGCATTAAAAGTATTGACTACTGGGTTTTCATACTTTGTGCATTCATTCAATAAAAACTCACTGAGCCCCAACTGTGTGCCATACCCTTATATATATATATATATATATATATATATATATATATATATATATATATATATATGATTTAAAATGCTTCGGGCTGTACTTAGGGCTAGTACTTGGGAAACTGAGACAGCAGCACTGTCATGAGCTCCAGGCCAACCTAGGCTGTATAGTGATCAGCTAGGACTACAGAGTAACACTCTGACTTAAAAGAATAAGAAGAATCAGTTTGGGCCCATTAGACTATCTACTGAAACAAAGATAGAACTGGGAGACAGAAGGAGTCCCTCTTGTGCCAATGCCCACTTTCCACGACTTCCGAACCTCAGTCTGCTTCTCTCTACAATGAGAATCAAAGCAGCCGAGCGTGGCAGTGGCTGGAAGCCCCTGTGGGCTCCTTCTCTAGGGGGCGTTCTTGCTGTAGTTGGCCTGTTAAGGTAACTTGAGGTCCAGGTGGTCAGAGACTGAGCACTCCGCCCTTCTGCTCTGTCCTGGCAGTACGGTGCAGTGTGCAGTGTGTGCATGGCCGGTTCCGGGAAGAAGAGTGCTCCTGTATCTGTGATGTCGGCTATGGGGGAGCCCAGTGTGCCAGTGAGTTCCAACTCGAGGTTGCTTTTCAGAACCCTCTTCAGTGGGGGGCTGGATCTGATTTTACCAGCTCGTAGGAGTCCATGTACCAAGCGATTACCTACTTCTTGCTTGGGAAAAACATGCCAATATCCTCAAATTGGCCACAGTGGATTATTTATACCAATGGAATTGGCAAATGCTGCAAGCTATGGATTTTGTGTGTGTGTGTGTATTGGTGGGGGGCGGGGGGGGTTCAAGACAAGGTTTCCTCTGTGTATCTCTGGCTGTTCTGGAACTTGCTCTGTAGACCAGGCTAGCCTCACTCAGAGATCCATCTGCCTCTACTTCCTGAATACTGGAACTAAAGGCATGTGCTACTACTACTCGGCTTATGGACTTTTTTAAAAAAATAACATTTTATTTGTGTGTGTGTGTGTGTGTGTGTGTGTGTGTGTGTGTGTGTGTGTGTGTGCTACAGAGCTGGTGTGGATGTCAGATTCTCTCCTTCCACCATGTGGGTCCTGGGGATCAAACTCAGAACATCAAGCTGGGTAGCAAGTGTTTTGCCCACTGAGCTGTTTTGCCAGTCCTGGATTCCCCAGCCCCACCCCCCCGCCCCCTTGAGAGATCTCACACTTGCAAATTTACCAGTACACTACTGACTTCTATCTACTTCCAGTTTGGAGAGTTAGCTGGAAGTTGGGGTACCTTGAACTTAGCTCAGCCTGTTGGGAGAGGGTAAAGATTCTGCGGTCAGCACACAAACTCAGGCTTTCCTGTCCTTCCTGCCAGCCAAGGTACACTTTCCTTTTCATACCTGTGACCTGAGGATTGATGGAGACTGCTTCACGGTGTCTTCCGAGGCAGACACCTATTATGGAGCCAAGATGAAATGTCAGGTGAGGGCTGCTGACCCTTACCTTCCCAGGGTCTCAAACAGGGTCATAATGGGGTGGCTTTGGACCAAGAGATGGTTCCTTCAGCTTCTCCTGGCCTCACTCTCTTCATTAGTATAAAGCAGGAGTCATAGATTCAAGGCTAGTAAAAGCCAAGAGCTCACTTAACACCAAGGAACAAGGCTGCGTCCCACACTCCTATGGAAGGAGCTGTCTTGTCTCAGCTCCAGCTGGTGGTGGACATGTTGGGATGCCAAGTCAGGGTATCCAGAACACAGGGTTTCTAAAGCCAGAAACCCAGGTTTTCCTTAGTATTTCTTGACTTGCTAATATTGACAATTGGTCCAAATATATTCAAGACACCACGTTATTGAGATAAAACTCTTGTGAGAGCAGGACCATGCTTGGGCCTGTGAACTGCCAACTGGGCTCATGTGCACACACAGAGGGGAGTCTGACCGGAGAGGAAGAGAATGTCTACTCTCAGAGGCCAGCGGTTGTTGAGGGTAGAGGTAAAGACAGTCCAGCCTGCACACCCATTTGGGATCTTGGCCATGGTGGGGCAACAGAATAGGCAGAAAGTTCTGGGCTTGAACTCTACAGTCTGCCCCATATGACCCAGAGTGGGGTTACAGGGAAAAGGTGGGGTACTAGCCCAGATCGAGAACCAGAAAGTGCAAGACATCCTTGCCTTCTACCTGGGCCGTCTGGAGACCACTAACGAGGTGACTGACAGTGACTTTGAGACCAGGAATTTCTGGATCGGTGAGTGCTTGGCAGCTGAAGGATGTGGTAAATGGGAGGGACTTGAAGTTCCACAAGGCTCCAGGATGCGTGGACTGTCGCCCACTAGCAGATAGCGAGGGTGTGGAAAGGGTTTGGAGCACGGAGTGGGTCAGTAGTCAGGATGGTCACTTTCCCTGGGTAGAGGGCTGCAGGGAGGGAAGAACCACAGGGTGGGGAGAGTTCTGGAAAGAATGGTTTAACATCTGGGAGCTTGAAAGGTACTGGGCCTCAGGCTCCTGGACTCTCAGATGGGGGGCAACCTTGGCTACCCTGGCCCAGGACTCACCTACAAGGCAGCTAAGGACTCCTTCCGCTGGACTACTGGAGAACACCAGTCCTTCACGAGTTTTGCCTTTGGGCAGCCTGACAACCAGGGGTGAGTCTGGGATGCTTACCCTCCCCTGGGCTCACTTCCCGCTTGGGCCTGTCTGGTTGAGCTTCAGATGCCACTGAAGAGCCTTCACCCAGCCTATGAGGGTCTGGACCTTACCTGGTTTTAGGTGCCAGGGAAGCCTGGACCTAGCTGGTGCAGACACAGGGCTGAGGCAAGAGGCACAGAAGGCACATTACATGGAGGAGGGACTCAAGAAGTTTCCATCCATGCATCATTGCCATTTGCCCTTGCTCTCTGTAACCCACACCCTTACCTGCCTACTGCCTGCATCAGTACATCATTTCTGGTACCCACCCACCTCCATCCTTCGTGCATACCTCCTCCAGTCGTCCTGTACAGAGAATATTCTGGCTATGTGGCATCTCCCTGGCCCTCACAGCCCAGGAGTGCCGTAACAGGGATGGAGGTGATGAGTCTGGAGGGTCACCCCGGGCTCCAAATATCTCTCCCGGCACACCCTCATTGCAGTCAAGTCTGACTGGACTTCCGGCATCTATTCTCTTGGTTGCAGAAGGATGTGGGCCTGTCTATTCCTGCTACGGCTAAGTGCTGGACTGGGCCGGGTGGGGGGTTACAGAGACCTCCCCGTTTTCCTGTGGAGAGCTGCCGTGTATGGGGAACAGAATGGCCCTGGCTCCCACCAGCCCCGTTTGCACGTGAAGCCCCTGGGCCTCTGAGATGCAGGTGGCTTAGAGGGGTGGAGGGCTGAAGATTCTCCTAGATTCCCAGTTTCATTCCTCTGCTTAAGCACTCTTTATCCTGACCCCTCAGGTTTGGGAACTGTGTGGAAATGCAGGCATCTGCTGCCTTCAACTGGAATGACCAACGCTGTAAAACTCGAAACCGTTATATCTGTCAGTTTGGTGAGAGCACGCTCTCAGCTCCCCTCCTCCTCTGATACCCGTCCCCCAATGTGCTAACAGTCTACTCTATGTTGCTTGGCTATCCAGCTCATAGGTACAGAGTGTGTCTGGGTGCTCAGAGTCAGAGAGAGTTTCCTGCTGGGGCCTTGTGTTGACTGAGGCTGAGAGGACAATGTGGCCCAGCATTGTATAGCATGCCCATGCAGAGAAACAGGACTGGGGGCCCACATCTTGCCTGGGAGTTCTCCAGGGTCCCTCTCCTCCTACCATGAAAGCTGTCACCTGTCAGATCCCTTACTATGCCCTACAGCCCAATAAGCTATGGGGGAGGGGCAGAAGTGAAACCTGGACCAATATCAGCTCCCAGCATCCACCTATTAGAATTTGGAGTTCCCTAAGAGAACACAGCCATGGCTAGCTACTTCTAGATGAGTACAGCGAAGTCCCCCTCATAGGAGGCCTCACTCTGTTATGCTTCCTTTCCAGCTCAGAAGCACATTTCCCTGTGGGAGCCAGGGCCCTGAGCCTGGCCAGGCAGCTCTCCTGCCAGCCTCTGAGTGCACAAGTCAGTTTGCCTTGACCACTCACCCGTGGGAAACACGGGCCTGGCTAGGACTGAATGTCCAACACTGAAAGAAGTCTCAGAACTTGCACAGTGCTCGATGTTGGGTAAGGGAAGCATTGAAGCCCACGAGAAATGATTTGGGGTCCTAAAGGAGCCTAGCACGGGAAGAGAAGAGCCAGGGACCATCAGCCTGCTTTTGAGTGGAAAGATGGGCTTCCATGGACCCCCGAAGCCAAAGCCAAAGCCAAAGCCAGTGGCCAACAGCTGTTCTGCTCCATCTAGACCAAACTTCATTGGACAGCTGGAGTTTTCCAGACCAGAGACTTCACAAAGAAATAAATGATGTTATGAATCAGCAGGCTTTGCAATTGATCAATTTTCCTTTTTCCTCTGTGTGTATTTTGTTCTGTTTTTGTATTGTTGTCGCAGTTACGGTTTTGTTTTATTGTGCTGACAAATTTCAAGCTGACATCAAATTCACTATGTAGCCCAGGCTGGCCTCCAACTCACAACAAGCCTCCTTACTTAGCTTCCGGGGTACTGGGACTTCAGGCATGTGCCATTGTGCCTAGCCAACTGCTGGCCTTGAAGGGGGATTCAGACGGTGGAGAAGATATTCCTGGGAAGATCAGAAGGGACGGGAGCTTCTCTGTCAGTCTCCTATTGGTCCTCTGTCCCTTTCAGCTCATCCTTATGATCTAAGCCACACCCTGGGCGTTTTTCGACTCCCTGAAAACTTAAGGACCGATTCTTTGACTCAAGAACCTCCTCCTCCTCCTCCTCCTCCTCCTCCTTCTCATTTCTTTTTTCCTAGCAGCTCCCAGCATTGTGCCTCAAGCAGCAGGGGAAAAAAAGAAAAAAAAAACTGAAAATGTGGGAAATGGTATGTGCTGTATCCACCTGTGGGGTACTATCACACATCACCTTATCATCACATATCATCTTACAGTTGAAGAACTGCCGGCACAGAGGTTGAGTAACTTGCCCAAAATAACACAGTTGAGAAACAAACCAAGTCAATTTGGCTATCATTTAATGCTTCTATTTTCTTTCACTGATTTAATCTGATGAAGCCAGGAAGGCACACAGGAAGAACTGATGTTCCCTCACTCATAGTGTGGACACTTGAGGGACCTACCATACGCTTATGTATATGGAATTTCATCTGGGGACTTTATTTTTCCCTATCAGGGACTAAGGGGGTCCAGCCCCCTCGATAGTCCCCTCCCAGGGTCCGGGAAGAATCTACAACCAGCTGATAATTAATCTTTGATGAGAAGAAATCAATCTATGTACACGAAACTCCTTAGTCCATATACTTTATTATTCTGTGTCAGTTACAAGCTTATATTCTGCTCTCATATTTAGGTCTTTTCTTGCCTGATTTCTCTCTACACTTGTCCGCGGTCCCCTCTGGGTTCTAAATTCCTTCATCTTGTTCTGCCCCTTCTAGGTTCTCATCCATCTTGTTCCTTCCCATATCATCTTTTCTCCCATCTCTTTCTCTCTCCTCATCTTGTTCTTCCTCATCTTGTTCTTCCCCATCTGGCTCATCCTCATCTTCCATCTCATTCCTCTAGTACTCTCTTCTAGCCCTTCAATCTAGTTCTTCCCCATCTCAGTTTGTTCCTCTCAAGTTCTTACCCGTCTAGTTCTTCCATTCTCTTTTCTCTTCTCCGACTCCCTGTGCCCTGGAAGCCCTGGTATATAAAGCCAGGCTTCCAGGGTCAAATGGAAGGGTGATAAGAATCACATAGGGAGGCAATAACCGTTAATTATCATTTGCAACCCCAAAGGGAAGTGACTAATGGGGAAATTAACTAAAGGCTGAATTCAGGTAATATCTAAGAAGAGGGCTCTTATGTGCTCAACTATAATCTTAAACGTGATTGGTAGAAAATGTTAAGAATCTATAAGTTGCTAGGTCAATGGGAGAAAATAGAACTGTCTTCTTTTTTCCTGTGGCTCCTATCTGTCCAAGCTATCTGCCGTTTTTCTGCAGGGTGGGGGAAAGTGTGCTCAGTCGCTAGGCAACCTGTGTACAGCTGGATGCCTCTGGTGATAGTTAAAGGGAGATCTGGAAATAGAGGTAAGGTTTGGGAAAGGCGGAAGTAACGCTTAATTGGCACATCCGCCAGGCCTTCTCAAACAGGTAGCCTGGATGGTTAAGTCTGTTCTTAGAGAATATAGAGGTATCTCTGATAAAGTACTCTCCTCCATCTGGGGATGGTCCTGGCCGGATGCTGCTAATGATGATAATTACAGGGAGGCTTGAACTGGGGTTCTGGCTGAGCATAGCTGTCAGTGCAGGAGGTTATCTAAATATTCCTAGAAGTGGTTAGGTAAGGAGTTAGCGGTCTATAAAGTTAGTAAGGCTGTAAGAAAGAGGGGTCCGAGCTGAATTGTGTAAAGCTATTACTTAACATCCACCTGACCTAGGTGGTGTCTCCTTGTGGAATTTACCAGGAGACTTGCATGTGGACTGTTATTAATGCTAGTCCTTGAAAGTGGCTAAGGGAGATATCTGATTCCAGAGAAAGCCTTTCCTGAGGCTGTTCTCCAAATACCTTGAATGTGTATGTCCAGAGAGTGATCAGTCCACACTGTTAGCCCTTCTTAGGGAAAAGTTAATTGGGAAAACTATGAAGGCACACATGACTTTCATAACAGAAGACAGCTGATATATAACAAGCCAAGTAACACCAAAAACTCCTTGGGATTTGGCTTCCTCTGGAGGAATTCCCTGATTCCTCCAGGTAGTGACTTTGCCATAACCAGCTGAGTTCTTATGATATATTCCTGCGGCCTGCAGCATTTCCCTAGTGTGGCAAAGTTTTCTAGGCCAGGGCATCTGTTTTCTCCAGTCTATAAAAGTTCATTTGCTGCCGTGTCTGCCAGAACCAGGCCTGAATGAAGCATTGCCCACTGCTTCCGATGCCTGCATGGAGGCAGAAGGGCCCTGCTTTCTTGCCTTGGCCCCCCAGCCTGTAGTTAGAGTCCTACTGGGGAGAGAAGGATGTGAAGCAACTTTAGGCTGTTCAGGATTCAGGTACCAAGACAACAGCCACGTGGGAATGACGTCTGCGCAGCGCACCTGCTGGCCATGAGGCCACAACCTTGGCCTCTCCTCCGTGTGAGATAGTCCCGCCCACCTCCCGGTAATCCAGTCCCTGCCACTGCGCCTCAAATTTGTCATCCCGCCCAAGCTCTTCCGCAGTGCAGCGGTGGGGAGTGGTAAGTTGCAGGGTGGGTCCTCCGTGGGCAGGCGTGTTGGAGACGGTAGCGTGCTCACAGAGACGGGAAGAAGGGGAACCTCGGATGCCAGATCCTCCCACCTCAAGCCCTGTGCTCAGTGTACTGGACTTCGAGAGGTGGCCGATGTCCCGTGGAGGTGTAGACACTGCTAAGGTCTCATCAGGGATAGAGACATATATCCCACATAGTCACCAATGCTAGGGGAAAATACAGGTTCTTCAATAAGCATGCACTAGCTAATAAATCAGAAAGATTTTTTGCTTCATAGTGGATTTTCATAGTAAATTCTGGAAAACTTACAGGACCTGGCTTACCATATGCCTATCTCTGTGGAATTTCATCTGGGGACTTTTGTTTTTCCATGATGTGGCAAGCTCTTCTAGGCCAGGGTGTCTGTTTTCCCCAGACTATTAAAAAAAAAAAAAAGTGCTTTAAGCTGCCAGGGGTGGTGGCTCACTCCTGTAATCCCAGCACTCAGAAAGCTGAGGCTGGAGGAATTCAATGATCTCAAGGCCAACCTGGGCAGCATAGTAATTCAAGGTCAATGTGGGCTATGGTGTAAGACTAACTAAAAAAAAATAAATTTGGGCAGCAAGATAACTCAATAGATGAAGATACTTGCTGTCAAGTCTGGTTACCAGAGTTCAATACCCCGGCCTCGCATGGTGGAAGGAGAGAACCGACTCCCACAAGTTGTCCTATGACAACACACATACATTATTTACTTTACGTGCACTGGTGTTTTGCCTGTGTTTATGTCTGTATAAGGCTGTCAAATCCCTTTGAGCTGGGTTACAACAGTTGTGAGCTGCCATGTGGGTTCTGGGAATTGAACCCCGGGTCCGCTGGAAGAGCAGCCAGTGCTCTTAACCACTGAACTATCTCTCCAACCCAGCACACATACATTAAATAAACATAAATAACCACAGCACTTCCTTTCTGCATTGGGGTAACTGATACACAATAGGAACTGGATCTGGTTCTTTGAAAAGTTCTGTTTGTAACCGGGGTTTGGTGTCATTTATCTGTGATCTTAGTGTTGATGAATCGAAGGCAAGAAGATTTTGCGTTCTGGGCCAGCCTTTACTACATAGTGAAGAAGTCAGGGAGGCTGTGTTTTGCTTCTCCAGGGAAAAGGAGGAAACAACACCAGCTAAGTACGGCCCAAACTCAGAGTAACCAGTTCATGTCCAAGGGCAGAAACAGGATGTAGAACAAACCAGCTGAGCTTCTCAGGAGAAAGATTTGTTTTCCTCAAAAGCAAGCAGACAACTCCCTAAGGCACTGGGTGGTGGTGATGGTGGTGGTGGTGATGGTGGTGGTGGTGGTGGTGGTGGTGGTGATGGTGGTGGTGATGGTGGTGGTAGTGGTGGTGGTGATGGTGGTGGTGGTGATGGTGGTGGTGGCCGCTCATGCCTTTGTGTCTATGCACTGCAGTACTCATATGTTTCATACATTACAAAAAGACACAAAAACCTTAAAGGGGCCAGGCAGTGACGGTGCACATCTTTAATCCCAGCATTTGGGAAGCAGAGGCAGGCAAATTTCTAAATTCAAGGCCAACCTGGTCTACAGAGTGAGTTCTAGGATGACCAGGGCTACGTAAGAAACCTTGTCTTGAAAAAAACAAACAAACAAACCCTTAAAGGGTAAATATGAAGGTTAACGTAAATGTCTTAATATTTTTCAGTACTGGAGATCGAACCCAGATTCTCACACATGATAGACAAGCTCTGTACCACTGAGCTACGTTCCCAACTCACTTACTAACGGTTCCACTTTGCACCTGCCACAAGGCCCTGCAAAGCCTTGCGTTTGTTTGGTTCTTTGTTCTAAGGGACCACAAGGTTAGCTGTCTCATCAAGGCATGCCATGCACTGCTGGAGTCCTTTCCCTTAATGCTAGCTGGATTTTCACGATCCTCTAGCTGCTGACTAGTCTTAGATTGCCCACTGTTTTTCTACCGGGCTTCTTGCCCCGAGTATTCTTGGTCCTATGTTTGTATGAATCTTGGTTGTAAGCTACCGAAACTAATTCTGGCAACTCTAAGCAGAAATGAGTTTGTTAAAGACATTTGTTAGCCCCCAGGGCAGCGGAAGAG